GGGGGGAGGGAGTGTGTGTGTTAATCAATTGGGTGCCACGGTGGCACCCATCCAAACCAGCGCCCATGACCTCAATATCGGTGCACAAGCCAAAACTCGCTCCGCTCATCGTTGGAAAATTAGAGGGACCCCTGCCCAGCAGTGACTCTTGAGGTTGCCAGACCGGGTGTCAGTTCTGGAGTTTTGTGATGGTGGCCCAGCTGGTCCCCCAGATCCGGGCTGAACCCCTTCTTCACTTCACGCCCCCCCCCCCTCAGTGAGCACCCTGTGGCTGGAGCTGCGAGCGGTCCTAGAGTGGGTGGGTGGAGCTGATCCAGGTCCCTATGGGACGTGCATTCTCCTCACAGACCCATCCTACAGTCCAAGCTAACGGAGGGTCGCAGCTTGCGGGTGGGCGACCACTGGACTAGCAGGGCGTGTTTCAGATGAGACTTGAGGTGCATGGGCTGAGCTGTGCGGAGGCTCAGGACTGGAATAGCGGGTTGGAGAAACTCCCTGTGCCAGCATCCGTTCCCCTGAACCTTCCAGTCCTCCGTCGCTGTGGAAAGACACGAACACCCGTGGTGCCCTGGGACTGACAGCCCGTTCAGCTGTGTCGCAGGGACAGATGGGAGTCTGTATCTCTCGCTAGCCAGCTGGTGCAGGGCTGAGCAAAATACGGCCCAGGGGCCGGATCCGGCCCGCCAAGCCACTGCATCAAGCCCATGGACCACCCTGGTGGGGCCCTCGGCACATGCAGCTGCCGCAGTTTAAAGCACAGTCCCGGCGGCTCTCTCTGCAGGCAGGGGGAGGCTTGTGTGATCTCCCCGCCCTCAGCCCAATCCTCAGCTCCTATTGGTCAGAAACAGCTGCCCAATAGGGACTGACCCCCATCCAATCTCTCAGCTCCTATAGGCTGGAAAAAAACCAGCTAATAAGAACTGACCTCAGCTAATCTCTCAGCTCCTATTGGCTGGGAACAACCAGCCAATCAGAGCTGAGAGATTGGCCTGAGAGACTGGGGCATCCGGAGTTGAGAGCCATGTGGAGGGAGCAACCTGTATTTTCAAGCGGGCTGGGGCTGCCGGCCAGGAGACACTTAGATAAACTCCTCCCAGCCAGAGCCTGACTCTGGCACCCCAACCCCGTCTGCACCCCCAACTCCCTCCCTCAGGTCACCACCCAAACCCTCTGCAGTCTGCATCCTCTTTTCCCCTTCTCCCAGGTCACAGCTCCCTCCCAGACTTTGCACCCCCTCCTAGTGCCCCTCCCCCAGGCCAGAATCCTTACCCTACACCCCAATCCCCTGGCCCAGGTCACAACCCCCTCCTTCACCCAAACTCCCTCTTCGACCTCACACCGTCTCCTGCACCCCAGGGCCTTTCCCCGTGTGCCCTTCTGCACCCAACCTCCACCCTAGACCCTGCATCCCCTCCACAGAAAAGTGCAGCCTTTGGCCACTTTCCAAAATCTTGGAGTGGCCCCCACCAAGCATTATTGCCCACCCCTGAGTTAGTGCCTCTGCCCCTTGCTGTTTGACAAGGCTAGGGAGGAGGGACTCGCCATTCAGTGTCCATTCAGCGGAGACAAACCGCAATGGCTTGAGGGAATGAATCACCAAGGAGCCCTCTCTGTGCTTGAGCCAGGTAAGTTATCCCTCAGCCAATGAGCTTGCACCTCAATCTGCCAGGGCTCAGCCAATCCACAGGCTCAGGTCTAAGCAGGAGGCCCACCAGTTGGAGATCCTTACGCCCTGCTCCTGCCCCAGCCTTCTTCTAGCTTTGTTCTGGTTTCCCGCTCTGACCCCTAACTCTGGACACAGCCTTGACTGCTAGGCCTGACTGCTGCTGTGCCAGCCACTAGGCCTCTCCATCCACTTCTCAGTTTGACACTGAGCCAGGCACAGTGCCACCAAGAGTCACAATCTCACAGAGCACATCTAGTGCACTTCACTGCTGCCTTCAGTTCCACTTCTGAGCCTCTTCTTGCGGTCAAAGCCTTGGAGAACAGTGACGAGAACCAGAACAGAACATCCCACACTAGCACTGTATCTCTTAGCATCTCTACAACGTTTGGTGATAACCAGTGGAACTCTCTGCTACAGGAAATCATTGAGGCAAGCAGCAAAGCAGGGCTTTCATAAAGAGCTGGATCATTGTACAGCCAGTGGTGACATGGGCAGCTCTTTGAGCTAAATCAGGAATGATTTAATTGAACCCCGTGCATGAGGCCAAAAATTGATCAATTGCCAAGGTCAGGGAAGAATTTTCCTTCTTGCCTTCAGTGTAGTTTTGCATTATTGGCAGGGGAAACGCAAACTTCTAAGCAGCAGGGATTGGCCACTGTTAGAGGGCAGGGTGCCAGAGGAGAGAGATTTATTAAACAGTATACTTCATCACAGCAACTCCAATGGGTCTTTCTTCAACTTGTCCCTGACTTCTGAGTTAAGATCTCTGGAGGGCTGAGTGATTGTCATTACACCAGCCTTGCAAAGTCATCATGAAAATGTACCAGGCCAAGCACAAATTCCACTCACCCTGCCATTTTTCATGGCAATAATAGAAACAAACGGATCCTATTTGACTTACACGTCCAAAAAAAAAATTACTCACGCTGGGTGAGTGGGTGAGCAGAATGTGACAAGGCTACATTAAAACAGACTGCCCAGAGTTGATCGTGAATTACATGTAGTGTCAGCTGGCTCTGATGAGTCAAGAATGCGATCCAGAGCCAGCGTCAGAGTCCGCTTGAGAAAAATCCCAGACCCCAGCACTCTCTGACACACAAACTGTCGGCAGCGCCCCCATCTGCCGTAGGCGAGATGTCCCCAGCCCAGCTGTGCACGAGAGGTGGGGGGGAGAGTGAGGAGTTGGAAGGAGAGGCGCTGTAAAGACAGGCTCCATCTCTTCAGTTAAATGCAGTCTCCTCCCATTGTGTCTTAACTTCCTGTTCTCAGCTCACCTGGTAGAGGAAGAGCGCTATTGACAAAGCCACTGAATGTCCGGAAGAGACTTCCCACTGTGGTGGGCCAGGCTGGGGAGTGCTGGGGGAATTCTTATAGAGCTCCTGGGATTCTAAAATCAAAGGTGCCACTCCCTTTCCTATGGCCAAGGTGACTGCACTCTGAGCCAGGGCCAAGTGCGATGCTCCAGGATTCCAGCTGGAGAAAATCCTGTTGCCCCGAAGTGTGGGGGTTAGAAGGGGCGGCTGGGGAGAGGTGAGTGAAGATGTCATCTTTCGAAAAAAGGCACTATTCCATGAAAACAGGGCTTTTTCGAAAGAGAGCGTCTACACTTTGTCAAAAAAGCGAGACGCTTTTTCGAAAAATCTTCTCGTTGTCTAGACACTCTTTTTCGATAGAGGCTTTTTTGAAAGATACTGTCGAATAAGCCTCTGTCGAGAAAGGCGTGCAGTCTAGACATAGCCGAGGAGACTAAGGAGGGATATGATAGAGGCCTATAAAATCATGACTGGTGTGGAAAAAGTGAATAAGGAAAAGTTATTTATTTATTCCCCCAATATAAGAACTAGGAGTCACCAAATAGAATGAATAGGCAGCAGCTTGAAAACAAACACAAGGAAGTTTTTCTTCACGCGGCGCACAGTCAACCTATGGAACTCCTTGCCAGAAGATGTTGTGACGACTAGGACTTTAACGGGGTTCAAAAAAGAGCTAGATACATTCATGGAGGTTAGGTCCATCAATGACTATTAGCCAGGGTGGGTAGGAGTGGTGTCCCTAGCCTCTGTTTATCTGGCAATGGATGACAGAAGAGGGATAACTTGACGATTCCCTGTTCTATTCACTCCCTCCATGGCATCTGGTATTGGCCACTGTCGGCAGACAGAACACTGGGCTGGATGGACCTTTGGTCTGACCCAGTCTGGCTGTTCCTATGTTCTTATGATCTCCAGAGGTCACTGTGTCCAAGAAGGTACAATAAATTCCTTTCGTTGCAAGAAATGGCTAGTGAGTGAATGTGCAATTGATGACAGATCTGAGAAAGAGAGCACCAGAGAGCGTGGGATCCCTGTTCAAAGCAGTCTGAGCCCCCTATCTGGTTCCCTGTCACAGACACAACACAGCAAGATTCAGGCTGGAGAGAGGCAGCTAATACCCATGGTGAGAGAGAACCCGAGCCACGGGTGCCCAGTGGGGAGGGGAGCACACGAGAGTCACAGCAAATCAGAGGGAGGTTTGCCATGTGACATGGCAGCAAAACTGCTCGTGTGAATGTGTGGGCCTGATAGACGGGGCATCACCTTCCAGACCAGGGGTATGGGAGTCTCTCTCCGCTGATGAGCGCGTCTCTGTCTGTCCAAGGGATTGGGAGAGCACCCCTCAGTAACAGGCGTTTCTTGTTCCTTTCTGCTCCACAGCGGGAACACACCCATCGCAGTGTGGGGAACCCACCTGGACCTGATCCAGAACCCTCAGATCCGGGCAAAGCATGGTGGGAAGGAGCACGTCAACGTGAGTATGGCTGGGGGCACGGGGATGGGCATTAGGGAACATGGCAGAGCTGGTGAGAGGGGCCACGGGGCAGCTCTGGAGACTGACGTGTCGTGTGTATGCACAGAACAGGCAGCCCGAGCAAGCTTGCCCTCCCGGTGTGCCTCACATCCAGGCTGCAGGGAGGAGAGGAAAATTGAGTCTCCACCATCCAGTCTCTGCTGAGCTAGTTATAGTGAGATAGTCCATTGCTTTTGTGATCTGGAAACATGTCCATCTAGGCATAGGCAGTCTAGACGCGATCTTTCGAAAGAGGCTCTTTAGAAAGATGCTTTCGAAAGAGCCTCTTTCGAAAGAAGCCTGCAGTCTAGAAATAGCCTAGGATTCAGCCTGTACAGTGGGGCTCTGAGGCATGTTCTCGGCTGGACCTGAGAAACAGAATGGGATTGAACCCTGATTCCTCTTCCCACAGGCCCGCTGATGGGGGCGGGGGGTGGGGAGGAAGGGGGCAACTGCCCTGAGGGGCCCTGGGCTCCTGACAGCTGCTGCTGCTCTTGTGGCAGTGGTGGCACCCCCAGCCCCATGCTGAAGTCTTGCATACTCTGGGCAGCAGTTAGGTCTGCCTGGGGAGGTGGGGGCACCATGTGCTATGCTGGGACGGAGCATCAAAGTGCAGGTGGCTGCCCGCAGTCCCGCCCCTTCCATCGGAGGCTCCGCCCCTTCCATCGGAGGCCCCGCCCCTTCCACTTGAGGCCCCGCCCCTTCCACCTGAGGCCCCGCCCCTTCCAGGAGTGTGGAGATGCCCCCCCGACCTTGCTGCGGGGCCCAGCGTGGCTGTCGGCTCCCTGACTTGCCATGGCCTCCCGCCACTTACAGTAACCTCTGAGGTTAATCCTGGGTCATGCTCGGTGTTTTCCCATCTTGCTGTCTGTGCCCAGTGGCACTTGGCGGATCGATTCTCCAGCATTCAGAGCTAGCTGCCTGCACTGCTTAACCCACGTCAGCATGCACACTTCAGCCCCCTGGTCGTGAGGCTGGGCCGCCTCGTGACCATCTCAAGCCCTCATGGCGCTGACAGGCCGTGTTCTAACTGTACCGACTCCAGCGGCAAACCAGCTGATTCCCCCTGGAGTTACGCCAGGCTCAGACCAGACTCAGGCCCCGTGCAGACCATGAGCTGAGAGCCCTGCAGAGAGATTTAAACTCGTGGACAGTTGGTTTCTTTCGTGGGTGAGAGCTAAGCCCCCAAAGCCCTGTCCCAGCGAGGTTCCTCTGAACAGCTGCATCATCTGCATTTCATTCGGTCCAAATCGCTTTTGTCATCTGAACTGATCTGGACAAAATCGACTCCGGCCCCTTTATTAAGGTAGATGTCCCAGGCAATGCTCGTAAAGGCAGGAGGCCAGGGTAGGGGGAAGAGTGAAAGGGAAGTGTGAAAAGGAAAATCATAACACCGGGGTTGGCTTTGTGATTATTATTTGTACTCAAGTAACTTTGAGAGGCCTCAGCTGAGATCAGGTCCCCTTGGTTGGGTGCCGCACGTGTGCTTGGTGAGAGACAGTCCCTGCCCTGTGCAAACCGGCAAGAAGACTAAGTAACCTTTTTACAGGCGGGGATCTGAAGCACTGAGAGACCGAAGGCTTGTCTCCATGGGGAGTGACTCCAGAAAAACTATTCCTGGTCAACACCAGGCGTGGACACTCTTGTGCTGAAACCAGAGTGCCTGTTCTGCATGCCCAGGTCCCATCAGACTTTGGGCACCCCATATATTGGAGGGAGGCAAGGCAGGTTCAGTTGACCAGCCCATTAGAGAGATCGTGGCCCCTGACAAAATGGAAATCCTGCTGCAGGTGCAAGTGTGGGCAGTTACCGGGGAGAAGGGGCCCCCCGCGATGTGCCTCAGCCCCTGAGCTAAAGGAGCTGAGGAGTCCCCTGCAGGAGCAAAGGGCTCTCCATACCCCTTCCAGCTGTGGGCTGAACGTAGAACTGCTATGTCTCTCATGGCAGCAGTGGGTGGGCTATTGTTTTACGGGCGGGGCTCCTGTAATGTGTCTGTTGAGGACGGGGCTCCTCTCATCAAGCTCCACATTGACTCATGCCCTCTAGGTCTGTGAGGTGCAGAACGCCACGGAGATGACTTGCCAGGCCCCAGCACTGGCTGTGGACCCGAATCACCAATCCGAACTGACCGAGCGCCCAGAAGAGTTCGGCTTCATCCTGGATAATGTTCAGTCCCTGCTGATCCTCAACAAAACCAACTTCACCTACTACCCGAACCCGGTCTTCGAGGCTTTCAACCCCTCGGGGATCCTGGAACTGAAGCCGGGCACGCCCATCATATTAAAGGTGAGAGGGCGGGAGGGGAGAGGGAGCAGGGTCGTGGAATGACGATGCCCTCCAGAAACACTTCCTGTCGATCACAGAGCAGCGTCAGTCCCAGCGGAGCCCTCCCCAACTTCTCGCCATCTTCCCACCAATCACAGCAGAGACTCCATCAGCATCCCACCAGTCACAGCGCTGCTCCTGCCAACTTCCCACCAATCACAGCAGAGACTCTGCCAGCATCTCACCCGTCACAGCACCGTTCCTGCCAACTTCCCACCAATCACAGCAGAGACTCCACCAGCATCCCACCAGTCACAGCGCTGCTCCTTCCAACATCCCACCAATCATAGCAGACTCCACCAGAATCCCACCAATCACAGCGCTGCTCCTGCCAACATCCCACCAATCACAGCAGACTCCACCAGCATCCCACCAGTCACAGCGCTGCTCCTGCCAACATCCCACCAATCGCAGCATGACATCCTTATTTTTACCCCAAACCTCAGCAGATGTTGTGTGGTGCTGTAGAAGCCAGGTGTGCAGACTAGATTTAGCTGGGCAGGCCCGGCACTCAGAAGGGAAGCGCAGAGAGAGAACATGTGTGACATTCCATAACCCCCTAACCACAGAGGACAGGACTTTGAACAACTAACCTTTGCACATCTTGGCAGTTCACCCCACATAGAAATTCCTGGAATAGGCCCTCAGTTGCTATAATGCAGCTCTGTTGGTGTACTTGGATCGCCACTGATTTACACCAGCGGAGTGTCTGGTCCCATGTGTCTATTTGTGCTGCAGTGCTTGACAAATTGGTTATTATGACAACCAGGCACAGGGCTTCTAGAACGACAAACTTGCTTACCCGCCATTTGTGCAAATCCGAGAATAGCCCCTTTGTGGCTGGAGACCTTTTATGAGCCAGAGATAATGTAAGAGCATTTTATGGCCTTCATTTTCCCTGTGTGTGATGCACGTGCAAACAGATAATTGTGCGCACAAAAGACACACGTGCACATTCAAAACAACCATTTTGCAGGGGTGTCTTTTGTGGGTCCAGTTAGCTGCTTGTGCAGGCACAGCATAGAGATCTGTTCTTCCAAACGTATGACTAATTCCAGAGACGGACACTAGTGAGCCTGTACCAGTCCGTCCCAATCTTCCAGGGGTGTGTCAGGATTTACTCTCACTGGGGAAGCCAGGAAATGCTGACCCGAGGGAGGCATGTCTAGCCATGGCACGCAGATCTCAGGGACAACCCAATGGCAGGTCACACCCCGTTGAGATGTGTATGGTTTGCTCCTCTCGGTCCAGGGGAAGAATCTGATCCCCCCGGTGGCTGGCGGGAACGCCAAGCTGAATTACACCGTGCTGATAGGAGAGAAGCCATGTGCGGTGACTGTGTCGGACGTGCAGCTGCTGTGCGAGTCACCAAACCTCATTGGACGGCACAAAGTGATGGTAAGCAATGCTTTAAAGCAGAGGTGGGCAATCATTTTTAATGGGGGGTGACTCCAAGTGCTCAAGGGCCACAGTTCTATGGAGGAGGTAAGGGGTCTGGGACAGAGGTTGGGTGCTTGGGTTAGGGGACTGGGGTGCAGGAGAGGGTGTGCGGTCTGAGAGGGAGTTTGGGTGCAGGAGGGGATTGTGATCTGGATTATGGACTTGGGGTGGAAGGTGCGGGAGGGGGCATGAGTGCAGGAGAGGATTCTGTCCTTGGGGAGGAGAGTAGGAGGGGGTGCAGGATCTAGGCAGGAGCTGTGACCTGGAGGAGGTGGGGAAAGGGAATACAGAGGGTGACCTAGGGCAGGAGGCAGTGGTGGACTGGAGTAGGGTGTTGGGGGGAGAGAGGGGTCCGGGTGCCAGACTGACTGGGAGGTGCTTACCTAGGTAACTCCCAGCCAGCAGCCCTGCAGGAACCTGAGGCAGGGTCTGCTGCAGTTTCAGTCTGGTCAACACCTCTGGCTGCTCCACATGGCTCTGCTCCGGGTGGGGGCCTCTGCACGCTGCCCATGGCCCCAGCAAAATTTCTCAGCTCCTATTGGTTGGAAACTGGCCAATGAGAGCGGAGAGATTTTTCTGGAGGCAGGGGCAATGCCCACAGCCTCCCCATCCCTCCCCATGTCCAGAGCAGAGCTCAACTAGCCTTTAAAGCAGCTGCTCTGTGGTAAGGGTCCCAGCGAGGCAGCTCTGGGCTGGACCCTGCAGCTTTGCGGACCGGATCTGCCCTCTTCTCTGCTTTGCCTGCTCCCAGCTGGGTGATGCCAAAGTACCGGTGCAGCGTGGCTCCATGGATGTAGCATGACACCTCCGTGCCACCAATCGCTCCAGGGAGGCAAGAGTGCTCTGTTTAGCTTAGCACTGGCTGCAGCAATGCTCAGCATGGAAAGGGTTAAAGAGGGAAAGGACAGACTATTGACCACAGTGTGAATGGATCTGTGGGCTTAGGTGCTAAAAGGTTACTCTGCAAGCTGCATCATTTAGTATCATTTTGAGTATTATTTCTAGCTGGGACCTATGACAAATGAACATAGTGGTGAAACTGCAGCATTGGGCTACCTGCTCCTCCCCCCTCTCTCCCACTCCTGTATCCTCTTCTCCTTTCCCTTCTTCTCCACACTTTGAATACTGTGGCTACAGCAGGAGTCAGCAAAATCATTTGCATTTTACAGTCCTATCAGTTGTCAGAAATGAGTCTGCTAATGACATTACACCACGGGCGTGGAAACAGACATGGCTGCTCTCTGCAAATGTGGATGAGCCATGTGTTTGATTGACCCTTGTCAATGTGTTCCCCCCTCAAAAGCTGGTAGGGTAGGATTTTTAATTGTTATTATTCCAATGCCGAGGAATCCATAGAGGTTGCTGGAGATATAATATTTGGGTATCATAGAATCCTAGGGCTGGAAGAGACCTCAGGAGGTCATCGAGTCCAGCCCCCTGTACTTCTAGAGAGAGTGTTTTCTGAGACATAGAGCAGAGAAGTAGCAGTTAGAACCCCAAGATTCCGTGTTTGACTCTGCCACAAACTCACTGTGTGACCTTGGTCACATCCTCCCTCTGACAGAGTTTCCCCCTCAGTAAAACGGAGCTGGTAATCTGCACCAGCCATAGTGTGGGAGCTCTGTTAATTCACAGTTTGTTATGATCCTCCCAAGGAAGCACGTGTCATTCCATTCTCTGCTTTAATCCCAAGGCTTTTGACTAGGACATTGGGTGGCCCCAGCATTTTCATGGATGTGATCAGTGAGGTGCAAAGCCCAGGACTGGGAGATAAGCCAAGGGGCTGGAGGGTGGCAAATGAACCCCAGAGGTTCAGTGATAATGAGCGCAGAACTGGGCTCTTCCGTGACACAGGGATTCTCTCACAGAAAGAGGCTCCCCATATACAGGAGTGGCCCCTTTTGGCCTCGGTTAATCACACGAGCAGTGTGGGGAAACGGTAGTGCCCAAATATGATTGTGAGCGTCATTCATGGGACAGGGCGCTCAAGGTGAGTGTCATGGTCATGAGAGATGGCCAGCAGCCTGGGGATTAAGGGATTAACTGTACCTAGCCAGGTAGCAGTCAGCTAATAGAAAAGCAGATAGGGATTTTCACACTGAGACAAAGGAATTTGGGGGTTTTCCCTCCTTTGTCCCTGGCCAGTTGACTCTCCAGATACTGAGGGGGACAGACAACATGTCCCTCTCCAAGAAAAGACTCTTCGCCATCTGTACGTAGGGCAAAGTCTAGATAAATCCGTTAGGTTTTATTGTTTTATGGTTTGGGAATGGGAATCTGACGTCTGTGCATTTAGAAATGGATTTTCCTCTCTTTTGTAGCTAAGTTTTGTTCCCATGGGAAAATTCCCCATGAGTTTATTGATTGGTGGCTCTTACCATCTAGCCAATCTAACTATGTTTGTAACAGGAGTATTGTTGTGATAATGAAAGTTCTTTCTTTTTTATTAACCTGGTACTGGTTCAGTTCTGTGTCCTGGGGAATCTGTCTGTGGAACTACAGTTTGTATTTTCTCTTTTCTTGTTCAAGCTCTTTGGGGAAAAGAGCTTGGGGTGCCCTGGGGTTGGTTTCAAGTCTCCACCCCTGTTTGTGGGTTCAAAAGCACTTGATGGTGGCAGCAGATATTTATCCCCAAAACCTAGGATTTTAGGGGTTTGGAGGGAAGTTTTATATCAAAGCCTGGAAAGATCAGGTTTTGGGGTACTTTTGCAGGCCTGCACTTCTGCATTCATTGTGCCAGAGTGGAGACTCAGCCATGACAGTGAGCAAATGCCCTAACTCTGCAAGCATAGAGCCACTGCTCTGGTAACGTCTGAGCTGCGATTCAAGCACTGAAGGTTGCCTGCAGTAAAAGCCGCTGTTTTAGGACTAGCATTGAAGCTGGAATTAACAGAGGGGAACAGCCCTTTGGGGGAAGCATGATGTCATTGTTACTCAGGCTAAGCGCCTCGCTCATGGGAACTCCACTGCGAGAACGATGGGGAGATGGGAATTAACACTCAGCTCTCCAGGATCCTTCTCCCAGCGCTGCGCTGCGGGATCTTGCGTGAATCACCGAGCATCCCTGTTGCTGTGAAGCGGAGGGTGGTATCACACATCCAGACCCACAAGGGCTTGTGAGGCTGTATTAACCAAGGCAAAGTACTCGAGATTCTGAAGTAGGAAACAACGGTGCTCGTGTTGATGTCACCGTGTCCTCTCCCTCGCTTGGTCAAGGATCAGTAAAACAATGAGAGTTAAATAACAAGAGGGGAGGGAAAACTGCAAGATGTGGACCAAGTGCCTGGCTGTGACACATCCTTAGTCACTGTTGTGTGGAGGTGAGGACTCCCAGGCTAGGTCTAGGAGGGAGGGAGCAGGTAGAGGGAAGTATGGAGTCTTGCTGCAATTCCAGAATTAGCACAGTGATCACCCTCGCAGAGCGAGGTCACGGATGGGGGATCTGGCTCGCACCTACTGCTGCTGGTGCTGAGTTCCAGTTTGGTCTGAGGCCGGCGGATTGACCCGATCCCAAGGAGCCACAGAGAGTCTCATTCCCAGAGAGCATGTCGTACGATGGAGGTGGGAGCATCTGCGTGGTGCTTGCATGCGTGGACCGTGCATCAGGTGCAGGATTCCAGCTTCCCGCGGCTCTGTCTCCTCCGGTTCTCAGCATTGCCGGGTGCAGCTGAGCAGGATGGTTGCAAGAGGCTCGGGTGCAAGCCGCAGTGCAATGAAATGAAACGAGGTCAGAGAGGGCAAGCGAGGAAGAAACACAAGAAACCAGGTTGCTTCCTGTTAACCCTAGGACAGGGCTACTCAACACGTAGCCCACGGGCCCCATGTGGCCCGCAACCTGTTTGCTTGTGGCCCACGGTGCAGTTTGGGTTTACATGGGGCTCAACATGTGGCCTGCAGGTGGGATCCAAAACAAAAAAGTAGTCAACATAATGGTCTTGTTGTTTTGGTTTTAGATCCAGGTTATTATTGGAATACATTTATTTCTGGAGGCTCCCAAAGCACACCAGTAAGTGTGTACAGGGCCAGCCGGATGGAGGCCCCGCCATCGTATATTCCTTTAGGAGCAAGGGACTGCAGTAAGGGGGTGGATAGGGGATCCCCATCTATCCAACATTACCACTGGGGTACTCGGGATCGCCTTTAATGTTAAAAACATCAGGCATACAGGTGAGTGTGGCCTGCTCCCAAGTAATCCAGGGAGGAAAAAAGGGGTTATATATCTATATCCAGGGCTCGACAAATCGCTGCTCTGAGTTATCTGTGTGTAAGGCTGGAGGGACCGGAGCAGAGGGACATTCATTCTACAGAAGCAAGGAGTTCCACAGGTTGACTGTTGACTATGGTTGTAGGTTAGACTGGCTAGAGGCCCTCTGAGGCACCACTAGGCCTTGGGATTTCCCCTTCACTGGTGTTTTTAACATGTCTGTTTGCCAATCCCCCCCGCAGGCTCGAGTGGGAGGACTGGAGTTCTCCCCAGGGATGGTCTACATCTCTCCCGACAGCCCGCTCAGCCTGCCGGCCATTGTCAGCATCGCCGTGGCCGGCGGCCTGCTCATCATCTTCATCGTGGCGGTGCTGATTGCATACAAGCGCAAGTCCCGCGAGAGCGACCTGACCCTAAAGCGGCTGCAGATGCAGATGGACAACCTGGAGTCCAGGGTGGCTCTGGAGTGCAAAGAAGGTAGGGGGGAGAGGTGTGCAGAGGGCCCTCTAAAAGGAAGGGCTTCGTTTCCTGAAGCATTGCAATGGAAACATGGCTCTAGCTAAAGGACCCTGATCCACAAACTATGAATCATCCTTTGCCAAACTTCTGGCCAGTTTAGATCCAAGATCCACAAAGTCCAGCCCCGGACAGGGTCTAGTCCTCCCGGAAGCTCTGAAGCCTTCAGACCCAGAGTTCTGAGTCAGGCCTACCTCTGCTTCTGATACAGTTTGGCCCCATCCACCCTGCTAGACAAACGGCATCAGGAGCTGCCTTTGCCTGAGCCCTCTTTAAACTGAGTTTCCTAAATTGGTGCGGGGCCGTGTCTCGATGGAGCCTCTGTCCAGCGTTAGAGCACAGGCCGAGGCTGCTGCATGGGCAAGTACAGCTCGCTCCTTGCCCACCTCTCTCCGTCTGCATGGCCCATCCTTCTCCTCCCGCGGCGCTGCGTGCACCCGCACAGGGGTTAGCCTGCCCTCCTGCCAGGCAGGGGCGAGGTAGAAACCTCCAACGGGGCTGGGTTTCTTGGTCTCAGCTTTTGCAGAGCTTCAGACAGACATTCACGAGCTGACGAGCGACTTGGACGGCGCCGGCATCCCCTTCCTCGATTACCGCACCTACACCATGAGGGTGCTTTTCCCAGGCATCGAAGACCACCCCGTCCTGAGGGATCTGGAGGTAAGCAGAAGCAGTGACCCCCTTCTCCCTCCAGCAGCGGTGTGCAAGAGCTGACAGAACGGGGGGTGCTTGGAGGAGCCCATGTGCCACACTCGCGGGGGCGGGGTAGCAGGGGGAGACCTGGGAAAATGGGAGTGTTCCGCCTGTTGTCAGAGGAGTGGTGCAGCCAGGGTATGTGTGTGTGTCTGTGTCTGTCCCCAGTGTGTGTGTGTGTGTGTGTCCACTGTGTGTATGTGTGTGTGTGTCCGTCCGTCCCCACTGGGTGTGTGTGTGTGTGTGTGTGTGTCCACTGTGTGTATGTGTGTGTGTGTCCGTCCGTCCCCACTGGGTGTGTGTGTGTGTGTGTGTGTGTCCACTGTGTGTATGTGTGTGTGTGTCCGTCCGTCCCCACTGGGTGTGTGTGTGTGTGTGTGTGTGTCCACTGTGTGTATGTGTGTGTGTGTCCGTCCGTCCCCACTGGGTGTGTGTGTGTGTGTGTGTGTGTCCACTGTGTGTATGTGTGTGTGTGTCCGTCCGTCCCCACTGGGTGTGTGTGTGTGTGTGTGTGTGTCCACTGTGTGTATGTGTGTGTGTGTCCGTCCGTCCCCACTGGGTGTGTGTGTGTGTGTGTGTGTGTCCACTGTGTGTATGTGTGTGTGTGTCCGTCCGTCCCCACTGGGTGTGTGTGTGTGTGTGTGTGTGTCCACTGTGTGTATGTGTGTGTGTGTCCGTCCGTCCCCACTGGGTGTGTGTGTGTGTGTGTGTGTGTCCATGTGTGTGTGTGTGTGTCCATCCATCCGTCCATCCCCACTGGGTGTGTGTTTGTGTGTCCATCCCCACTGTGTGTGTGTCCCCACTGCATTCACGTCTCCAGGGGATTGAGTGTGTCTTCTTCCTGCTGGAGTGTGGAGAAACGGAGCTCCGGCGGATCCACAGCACCTCCCCTAGCATGGCAGCATTCCCTGGCGAGTGCACCGCCCCTAAGCCGCCACCCTGGACCTCTGCGCTGTTCGGGGTCCTCTGTGCTACCCATGCCCGGGGTGTCCCCCAGGACTTCTGCACTGGGTCTCGGCACTGTGGCCCTTTGGACATCCGTGCTGCCCACAGGCAGAGTGGCTCCCAAGTCTGTCCGTGGGCACAGCCCTCCCCAGGTGGCTGCACTGTGCGTGGGTGCGGCACACCCAGGATACCTGCGCTGTGTGGGCACAGTCCTAGAACCATAGGGCTGGAGGAGACCCCAGGAGGTCATCGAGTCCAGCCCCTGCCCAGAGCAGTCCACTGGGCGCGTCTTCCCCTAGCTGTACTTAAATAGCTTCTCTGCGCTGCCAAATATCTTGTGCGCCCGTGAAATGGGCTCTGTGACTGCATTGTGCTTTGTGATGGGGTAACACGCCCACCACCTTGGTGCTCAGCTTCCAGCGCCCCCGGTGCCTGGACAGAGCATCGCTTCCCTGGGCCTCTTCTGCCTCCCCCATTGTGGAGACACAAGGCAGTGAGCCCCAGGGGTTGCGGGTGGGTGCGGCGCGTTACATCAGTGGTGAGGGTGGTGGGCCTGGTTCTACTCCCAAGCAAATATCTGACTACGTGGTAAAACCCACTGTGAGTCGGGGGCTGCAGACAGGCGCTGCTCCGGGGAGACCGGGGTGGGACAGGAGGGGTGTGCTGCAGGCTCAGCATTGGCACGGCTCTCTGAATCTTGGCAGGCTGGGTGCTTAGGGAATGGGCATGGGCTAGGGGGGAAAGCCTGAGGCCAGAGCTGCATCGGGGAAGCTGGCACACACTTCCCTGAACTGCCGTGTAACTGGATGGAGCTGGGGCTCTGCCTGCTTCCCTTCCTGGAGGCTGAAATTCAGCCCCAGCTAGAGAGACGCGATTGCATAGCAGTGACCTTCGAGCTCCCTTATTCGCCAGCCTCCTCTCCAGAAGGGAGCCCGAGGGGCGGGCATTGTTCCTTGCTCTCCGGTAAGGAAAGGGAAGTCGCTGATGCCTCTCTCATGCTGCTGTGTGGTGAGCACTGGAGGATGTTGGTTTCTAGTGGCGAGTGTGGTACAGCCACGTCCCAGACCACAGACGTCCCCTGGGCCCTCTCCCGCTCTGCCCACGCCGACTAGCCCAGGTGGCTGGATGGAATAAACAGTTTCCCCCAAGCAACGGGCTTGCACGTGCGTGTGCACATGCACCGAAGTGCTTGCACGCCGAGGGCCAAACTCTCCCAACCTTTGCACCCCCAACCATCCATTGACTGGAACAGAAATTGGCCCATCCGGTGCTCTTTGGGCATGCTCTCGGGCACGCTCAGACACAGAGAGTGAGAGCTTCTCCCACGTGCATTACAGCTCAGCAAACCTTCCTGCACGCAGAAACCAAACCGTTTCTTCGACCCGTTGGTCCTCTGCCTCTGTTTCCCCATCACTCAAATCCAGGCACCTTGCTTCCACCTCGACCGCGACAGTAGCACTGCCACTGCCCAGCTGGTCTTTTCTGCTGCCTTCTTTCTCGCACCAGGAAAGAGTTAAAGTGAATAAAGCAAACGCACACGGAGCCATACCAGGCTGGGGAAGGCAGCAGCCGGGAAAAGGCCCCCAAGCCGGGCCCATTCAGAGCAGGTGTTCCTTCCCAACACCTTTTCTAATTAACGGCTTCCCTCTCACAGCTGAAATCAACTTTTTTGCTGCTCCACAGTCACCGAGGGATTACCTGGTATTAAACATGCAAACTAGCAAGTTAGGGCTAATTATTTCCTCCCTGGCAGGGCTGATGTGTTTGTTTGTTTTTTGCTTACAGACAAGTTTACAATCTATAATCTCTGGGAAAAAAAAAATTAATGACTCTTAACAGAGTCAACAATGAGGCAATTAAACACGGAACCCGGCCGCGGCCTCAAGAGTCAGTCCGTCCATCTGTCAGCAGCATGGGCGCCCCATCCCGCAGCCAGGCGCCTGGCGGGACAGTTCTCCCAGGAGGCACTTGGGGGTTAGGAGCACGGCAGACTTTGCCTGTTTCCCCCAGCCTCGGCCTGCGCACAGAGGTGGGGAATGGAAAAACCATCTGGCCTGGTGAGCTGAGTGCAGAGTCCAGGGCGGGAGTAGAAAAGGTGGAAGCAGGCGAGGAGAGCGGCGCGCTGGGGAGTGGGACATCTGGGATTGTCTGAGGTAGAATTGAGGGACGTTGCCAGAGCTGGGGGCCGGTGTGACAGGAAGGGCCCACGTGCAGCAAGTCCTGACTGAAGTGCGGCGGGAGAGCTGCGCAGGGGCCCAGGCCGGACTCACTGTGAGCTCGCAGCCCTGGGAGACGGCCAGCGCAGGAGGTAAACTCATGCAGCACGTGCCTGCCCTGAGCCTGGTCTCTCAGTACTGCGAGCCCGTCAGGGAAAGGCCAGGTAAAAACGCAGCACCCATGCAGGGATCGTTGGAATGTCCCAGGCCTCTGGCTGGCCCAGCTTCCTCCTTCGGAAAGGTCCCTCCCTTGGCACGGAGGAAGGGACTTTGCACCCCGAATGCCAGGAATTTGCTCAGGGCTCTTACATTTGTGAGGGAAGAGCCTTGTTCTGCCTCCCAAACCCGACCCCGGAGTCTGCAGGTGCAAGGATCAGCATATCCGATTGCACTAGGGGGGAAGTTCCGCCTGGCTGGTGACGGGGCAGGGTGTGTGGGCAGGTGAGGCGGGACGATGGTTTGTGTGGAGGGTGGGAATACGGGGTAGTTAATGTCCCAGTTGGCGTGAGCCACGTGGCAGTGGGGTGGTAGGAGCTGGCCTGGCCCCTCATTACCACGGTGTACATTCCCGCCATGAAATCGTTGCCGTGGCAGTGGCTCTCGGGGGACAGTTTGTGGCTTGCCTATGACGGGAGCCATTTTCCTCTTGACCCCAGGTGCCTGGCTATCGGCAGGAGCGGGTGGAGAAGGGTCTGAAGCTCTTTGCCCAGCTCATCAACAACAAGGTCTTCCTGCTGTCCTTCATCCGCACCCTGGAGTCCCAGCGCAGCTTCTCCATGCGGGACCGCGGCAACGTGGCCTCGCTCATCATGACCGTGCTGCAGAGCAAGCTGGAGTACGCCACCGACGTCCTCAAGCAGCTCCTGGCCGACCTCATCGACAAGAACTTGGAGAGCAAAAACCACCCCAAGCTGCTGCTGAGGAGGTGAGTCGCCATTCGGCTGTGGCGCCGGGCCCGCGGGGGCCCTTCGCTGCCCTCTGCTGGCCCGTTCGGGGCAGCAGACTCAGCGCAAAGGGCCCAATTCTCCTCAGGTGCGGACTGGGGTGTAAATTCAGCATGGCACAGTCCAGCAGCACAGGGCAGACCCCCCGACGCACTGGCTGGTGGTTGCACAGAGATCGGACGGCCTTTATGCATTTATTGTAGATTGAGTTAGTCTGTAGTGTTGGTTCAGTGCCTTCTGGGCCTATCCAGTATCTCCCAGGGAGAAGAGCCGCTCTGTTTAGCCAATGCTATGTCTGCCTCTTGTTTCTCCCTCTCCCTCCTTCTCCTCTCTTCAGTACTCTCCCCTTCCCCAAATTTCCTGCCCAGCAGCAGCTCCCCTTTGTCGGTGAGCTTCACGCCGGGTCCTGTCCCGGCCACTAAAATAATCCGTGATTAAATAGTTAATGTTGGTCTTGAGTTGTCACCCCTGAGCTTTAACGTTGAACCTCCAGTCCTGCTCCTGAGTCCTTGTTACAGGCTGCTTGCAGACCCTTCCGGCTTCACTTCCACTCCGGTCACATCTGGAAGGTTGTTTCTGCAGCCACTTTAGTTTTTTAAGTGAACGCCGGATAACCTGAGTACGTCATGCCGGCCACAGAAGCACACCAGCCACGAACCGGAGGTTTGATAACCCCAGGCTTAGTATTGGTGCATCGCTGCCCCCTGCTGGATGGCACCGGAACTGCTCAGCTGTGTGTCTCAGTCCCTGCTCTGATCGGAGCGAGTGGGGAGTCTCCTGCAGTGGCCAGTGATCCAGCCTTTGCGGTTCTCCAGCTCCGTTTAAGCACTGACATCAGGAGCACAGGGATGCAAACTCTATCTGGCTGTTGCTGCCACACCCTGAATAGCCCCAGTGAACCACAGAGTGGGGGCTGGGAAGTCCCAGGTGGTCGGGGTCCGTTAGGAGCCCTTAAGGAGGGTGGCGCCTGAAGCGTTTCTGCCTCCACCTGGAACCAGGGAGCAGAGCAGACTGAGCTGGGGCAAAAGGCTAGGCTGGCTCCTGCTGCCCGGTCCGGAGAAGAGTCTTGTTTAAAATGGCAAGGCATGGCAACCCTCTGGTGATAAACCACTGTGCTGTCTGCAGCCCGTGCTCACCCCGTTTGCCTGGGCACGCTCAGCCCCAGCCAATCCCCTTCTGTAACGGCCCAACGGGACGGATCGCTTGCCTGACCCTTCTCGAGATTCCCAGGCCAGCCCAGCTGGGTCTCTCTCTGCACTCAGGGAAACTGGTGCCAACCCAGAATAAACCCCGGTGGACTGACCCCAGCAGACACGTGGCAGAAATTGGCCCTCCCTGCGGTCTGCACAGGTGGCTGACAATGGAGGGCGCGGCTCTGGCGGAGGAGTGCGCTGGGCGGGCTGCGAGGGCGGGTGCTGCATGGCACGCCGCCCATCGGGCAGGATCAATGGAACAGCCGAGGCAGCCGAACAGCCAGCTCTCGGCGTCGGCGGCTGCTACGCGTGGAGCCGGCAGCCCAATGCGGCTCGCTTTTGGATGTTGTTTTACTAGTGTCAAGTGACTGACTACCTGCTGTCATAAGTGCAGGCTTAGCCTTGCTGGCCACATTCCCACCAACCATTCCCCTCCCGGAGGTCTCGCTCATCTGCCCACCTCCTGCTCTCAGTTTCCTGCCTCCAGCCGCCCTCTCTTCCCCAGACTCCTCCTCCCCTCTCCTCCCTTGGCCGCTGCTTCTCTTTTCTTTCCCCATTCTCCTCCACTCTGGGTGCTGCTTCCTTTCTTCCCACTCTCCTCCTCATCTCGCTCTCCCTGCTCTCTCTGTGCCCCATCCTCCTGAGAAATTGCAGGAGTCCCTCGGAACTTGCTCCTGGAGAAGCTGCTGCCTCAGTGCAAGCCAGGGGCGCTGCAGAGTTCAGTGAGGGGCTTGTTATCCTGAAATGGAGCCCCCCGGGCAGGCAGGAACAGAACTCTCTGATGTTATAAGGGAACACAAAAGGCCCGGGGCCATGTTCTGCTTTGGAATTCTAATGGGGCCGTTCCTAGGCCAGCACCGGGGTCAAGCAGCTCCGTGCTTAACCCCTTAGGCCCCACAGAGCCTCTGCAGCAATCAGCAACCTCGCTCGTTTGTGGAGCCCAAATCCCTCCCTCCGGAGTCTGGGTCAGCATGTCAGCTGTGGGGGAGGAGACGGTGGGAGAAGGTTTGCCATTGGGGGCTAGCTAATAAAATCCAGTCGCGGCATCTCTGGACAGTCCGGCAGATGCTGGCTCCGTAGCTGAAGAAGGAGGTGTCAGCGTCCCCAGAGCTGAGAGCTAGCCCGGCATTCGGTTTTCTTTATCTCTGTGGGGCTGCGTTTGCAACGTGCCACGAGCATGATTCTTCCTGGCTGGGCCATAGAGTGCAAAACAGGCTTTCCAGGGAGGAGGCGTCTTTAACATGCAGTGCCTAGCACACAGGACTCTGCTTTGACAGTCAGGCCACGTGCTGCACCACGTCACAAGCTCTGTGCTGCATGACGCTCAGGACACACCGGCCACAGGAGGTGCCGTGAGCATCTGGCCATCCTGGTGCTGCAGCAGCCGGGCTGTGAAACTCAGGGAGCAGCAGGACGTACCGTGAACACAGGTCATGTGAGCACCAAGCTGCATGATGCTCCATGATCGTAGGCCATGCTGCCAGGCTAGCGTGATCACTGAATGAAGTGGGTGGGCAAAGCAGGCACCTTGGGGAGGGAGAAATCTGCAGACAGAGACACCTGGGCAGCCGGCAGCCGTGGGAAAGGAAATACAGAAAAGGCACTGACTGGGGAGCTCCCAGACAAGACTCTGAGACAGACAAGGGCTTGTCATCTGCTCTCCGGGATGCATAATACAGGAAGGGCAGGGGGGGAGGGGGTTTAAAAGGGACATGGTCAGGTCATACAGGGGTCTGGCCTGTTTTCACGGCCCCCTGACCAGTGGAGAGCTGCGCATGGGAAAGGAGACATTCTAATGGGAACAGGGAAGAGGTGCCGTTAATGGGTGTGTGCATGGAGCGTCTAGATAGACCAGTGGGACTCTGGTTTGAATGGAGGCTGCTCCCAGAGCACAAAGACACAACAACCAGAATGCAGACCCACTGCCCTGCAGCGTTCGCCCTCCCGACTCCCAGCACCTGAGAAGCAGGAAGCAAAGCGAGCTAGACTCCAAGGGAATGGACAAGCCTTTAAGTCAGGGCGGGCGAGAACACCAAGCACAAAGAAGCAGCCTCAAGAGAGATGAGGAAATGCTGTTGGTTCAGCAAGCGTGGACGTCCGAACAGTGGAATCACAGAGGAACTGTAGGGAGACCCGGAGGAGTGTCACTGACGGTCTTAGGGTTACTCTGGACTCATGCCAGGGTAACTGGCGTCAGAAACTGGCCCTCACGTTTCGACTCAGTCCCGCCCACCGAAGAGTCAGCGTGGATATTGCTTGAGTAGGAGAGCGAGAGACCCAGGACTTGCATCACAGTTCGGGAGAGTCCTTTCATCGCCCGCAAGGCAGTCACCAGATCCAGCTGTCCTGATCCCTCCCTCTGCTGGTTTGGCTCCCTCATAAGTATTTATTGAGCGTAGTGTCTGAGTGCCTCGCAGTCTTTAATGTATTTATCCTCCAAGGCCCCAGGAGGCAGGGTGGTGCTGAGAGCCCCCTTGTAGGCATGGGGAACTGACACACACAGCGGCTAAGCGACTTGCTAACGTCTGACAGGCTGCCCTTCCTCCTGACGGGCAAGCAGGGTCTTATGGACAACCCAGACAGCGACTTTCCTGGAGCTCCCCACACGGAGCCCTCCCCATTGGACACATCCAGCCTCGTGCATGTGATACCTCACTCCGGAGGCCGGCACTTCCCGTCCAAGCCCAGGAGTGCGGGGCATGGCATGCAGTGGGGGAGAAGTTCCTCCAGGCTTCTCCAAACCTCCACACAAAAGTTCGGAGTCAGTCTGATGGGTGGGCAAAGGCTCAGGGGGCTTCTGGTTTAGTCCAATCCGGTTTGCTCATCCCCTGTTCGAACCAATGGGCATGTGTCGCCCCAGGCAAGTCCTTTGTCCTCCTGCCTTTGCTTCAGCAAGGGGCCGGCAAGCTGCGGCCACCTCTGCACTCTCTTGTGCATGGCCCTGAGCGGCTCCGCCAGCTCTTACCCTCAGCTGTAGGCTGGAATTCTTTGACAGAAGACGTTGGGGGGGTGGGCAGGAATATAACAGGGTTCAGTCAGGAACTAGGTAAGTTCATGGAGGATAAGCCCATCAGTGGCTATTAGCCAGGAGGGGCAGGGATGATGACCCTTGCCTCTGTGTGCCAGGAGCTGGGAGTGGGCCCCGGGGGAGCGATCACTGAATGGACTCTCTGTTCTGTTCATTCCTCCTGGGGCACCTGGCCTTGGCCACTGTCGGAGACAGGACACTGGGCTAGCGGGACCGCGGGTGCCTGGTCAGCACGCTCCATCCGTCTCCCATTCTCTTTTTCTTCAGGACGGAGTCTGTGGCCGAGAAGATGCTCACGAACTGGTTCACCTTCCTGCTGTACAAGTTCCTGAAGGTAAGCGGAGGCCGCTAGCCCCCATGGATGGTTTGGAGCTGGACACCCGAGTAAGGACAGGCCCCGGTGCCAGGCCTAAGCCGGGGGTCCCGCGCAGGAAAGGGGCAGAAGGAAGGCGCGAGGGCTGGGTGGGAACAGAGGGAGGCCAGGAGGTGAGAACGTGGCTCAGAGCGGCCAGCTGGCAGGATTTCGCTTCGTTGGCAGCGGGCGAGGGGAGTTTTTGCAAGGACAGGGGCCTTTCCTGAGCAGAGTGCCGCTCTGACCCCGTGGCGGGTGGGGGGACGGCCTGAGCAGATCAGTTTTAAAGGCAGCAGAACATTGGGCCAGACAAAGGCAAAGTGCCGTGGTTTGTCTGGTAACTCTTCTACCAGGCTGTTCTCCAGAATTTCTTCTCCCGGCCCCTAGATGCTTCCAGAGGGCAGGAGGGGGATGCCACCTCCAGGGCTGCCTGGAGCATCTCCCTGTAGTCCCGAGCACAGACCAGAAGCCATCCCTGCCCTGAGCTGGAAGGAATGGGTGGTTCTCTGTCTGGGTCTCCGTCCCCATCCTTGCAGCCCTCTCCTGTGGAACCAGTGGGCCACGGAGTGCCACCTTCACTCCCGCCCTAGCAGGGCTTCCTCCCAAGTAGGACGGATGCCCCGTGGCAGGGTGTGGCAGAGGAACCACTGCGTGCTCCATGCACGGCCCAGGCTTTCAGGATCCGAGACAGCAGCTCTCAACTCATTCGGGAGGGGATGGTGTTGGCTCTCATGCTGAGAGGTGCTCCTTGTGATGTTGCCTTCTGAGAGCCCACCACGCCTCCCCTGGGCCACCACCCAGAACCCACGTGAGCGTCAGATGCTGACCTGAGCGCTCCAGTGCCCGTACGTACTGCCACGCCTGGGCAGGATGAGCACTGGCCAGCTGGAGGCAAAAGGCCTGTTACCCTCAGCCAGCCATGTCCAGGCACAGCCTCTCCTCACAGGACGATCCCTGTAATCCCAGTACCTTCTATAGAACCAAATTCCCATTTTTGGCTGGCAAGAGGGGCATGAATGAGGTGACTTGCTAAAGCTAAACTTTTATGAGAGACGTTTCCCTCCCCCCCAGCTTCTTGTCTTCCTGCCTTTGCATACACACCGGCCTGATAAGGGCACTAGACGGGCACAGGGGAGCAATATGCTGCCTGCAGATATGCTCATTAAGCAGCAGACAGGTGCAGGAAAGGAGAAAGGAGCCACTTTGCGTCATATCATTAACTTGTTTTCTCCAGGATTTACGTTGGAGGAAAGTGACCTCACCCAATGGTTCGGGACAGACTGCGAGAGGGGAGGGGAAGCAGTGGGGGGCAGGAAGGGGAGCAGGGTAGTGGAGGGGAGAGAGGAAAGCAGTGCGGGGAAGGTGGAGGGAGGGGGAGCAGTGGAGGGAACGAGGAGGGATGGGGAGCAGTGTAGG